GGGGGGGGGAGAAGAATAGGTGGGGGTCACTAGTTGCTGCTGGATAAAAACTGTCTTTATGGCGTGAGGTTTTGGTCCTGATGGTCCTCAACCTTCTGCCAGAGGGGAGGGTTTCCAAAAGTTTGTGACCAGGGTGAGAAGTGGACATTTTGTCCACCTGTACCCCCCCTAAGTATCTGGAGTTACCCTATCATGCCCTATTGTGTTCTGTAGAGGACATCCTGGGCTTTCCAGTGATGTGCCATGTGACAGGTTTGCATGCTGGTAACTTTACTTTTTTCCTAAGAGTTCTTAGGTAAATATCCCTTTCAAGACATCTTCTTTTGTATTATTTAATTATCTAAAGCCTGTTCTACTTTCCCATGCAAATTGTCTTGTTGTCCTCCACAGTGGACATGCTATGAAATAAATAATTAAAAATGTTATTTTTTAAATTGAAATTGTAATGTTCTTTTTTAGGTCCAAATACATGGAAAATCACAACAAAAAATAAATTTGAAGACACTTTTTTTCTTTGGGTCTCAGGAGGATATGGTTCGGTTTTGACATCTGAACTGTAGAAAGCATTAAAGTACATCAGGATCAGAATCAGAATAAGGTTTATTGCCAAGTAGGTTTTTGACTTACAAGGAATTTGCCTTGGTTTGAAAATATCAAACTAAAAAGTACAATCATTAAAAAATATAGATCTGAGAATAGAATATGGATATATTACATTTAGGGAGTTTAGTCTTTGCACCTCCATCATGTCCTAGAAGGTTTGAATCTAAGACTTAGACTTAGGCTTAGACTTAGACTTGTACTTTATTGATCCGTTGGGAAGACTCCCTCAGGAAATTGAAGTTACCAGCAGCTTACAGGGCAGAAAATTGGCACACAAATGTGCCACAAAATGCAAAAAAAAACAAAAAAAATCCAGATTACGTACAGGTACACACTAAATGTGAATAGCCAAAAAATAAGAATATAAATACAAAGTAAAAAATAAAATAAAACCTCCTAAATTAAGCAAAAATAAGCAAAGAAAAAGAATATAAATACAACGTGAAAAATAAAGACCCTGAAGAAAATACTGGACTTTGGCGGATACACACATAAAGGATTAAATCCCAGCGCTGTGTTGCTTCCTTGTATATTTGTTTGTTTTTGCTGTTTGTACTTTATGCACCTTTTCCTCCTTTTGAACCCTCTTTAGTCACTAAACCGATGTGTGACCAGTGAATTTCTCCACTGTGAGATCAATAAAGCCCTTATCTATCTATCTATCTATCTATCTATCTATCTATCTATCTATCTATCTATCTATCTATCTATCTATCTATCTATCTATCTATCTATCTATCTATCTATCTATCTATCTATCTATCTATCTATCTATCTATCTATCTATCTATCTATCTATCTATCTATCTAAACATAAGCCATTAAGTGTACCATAAATGCTTATTCGGGTATTTTAGTGTCACTAAACGGTGTCTAACCGCGGAGCCTCGGTGGCCTCTTCCATGTCTGTTTTGGGGATGGACACGGAGAGTTTTGGCACTATGTGAAATATGTCTGGATGTTGACTGAGAGCTTAAAACAGAGAGGGGGGAAGAAAAGCTCTTTAACCGGTCGGGAAAAGCCCCCGAAAAACCTGCTGGCCCTCAGCTGCTGACAGACCTCCCTCCACTGACAGACACAGGTCTTATGGGACTGCGTCAATCACTGGAAACATCACTTATTCTCAGGAAAGCAGCTACTTTAACGCGCCCGTTAAAGAGAATTTAAAAAATATATTGCAAAGATATAACAGAATATGTGAAAATATCACAACAAGGTGAAATCTGACCATGCACTGATAAAGTTTGTGTTCCTATTTTTACAATTATAATTTAATCCACAAAAAAAACACATCTTCAATGACATTTTTCTAATAAAATCATAATTTCATAATTTAATTAACCATAATGTGAGTTTTGTCACATTACTTTGTGATGGTATAAAGGAAAAAACATCCAGTTTAAGTCATTATTAAACTAAAAACACATTAATACAAATTATTAGCTTTTATAACCAGCTGCTGGGGTCCTGTTAGAGTCAATTAACTTCCAGCAAAAATTTTAAATCAAATTTTAAAAATCCCATTACAAGCACACCTCAATATTTTAGGTTTCAGCTTTTTAGCGTCACGTTGATACACTTTTAGTTGTATAAACGACAAACGAGTTGGGCTAAAGGCTGTAAACTCTGGAAATAAACTATGTATATTAAACCCAAATGAGCGATCGCTTTATGTATTTAATGTTTTTTGGCAAACGGGTTTAAAACGCGGTACAAATCATTTTAAATAAAGTTTTTATGTGTGTGTTTAAGTGTGTGTGATGGCTTAAACTCAGCGTGTGGTCTGATTTGCAGCGTACCTGGTGGTGGTAAGGGCTGTAGGAGCTGAAATAAGGCTGAGGACCAAACACTTGGTACATCACATCCAGGCAGCTCATGGCGAAGAAATCACGGAGAGGAGCCCAGCGTCATGGAGAGAAAGCAGCGGGGGTTTGGGTAGAAAAAGAGAAAGAGAGGAGTCGGTAATCCGGGACGGTGCCGCGCGCTCTGCGCTCTTTTACGCACTGGATCCGCGCGGGGTTTAGCCAGAGGAAGCCCTCCAAACACACACACACACACACACACACACACACACACACACACCCACACACCCTCACAGCCCCTCCGACCAATCACAGGCCAGATCTCCACCTCTGCCTTAATGGGCTTTTAATTAGAGCTCACCAGAGATGTATAAAGTAGAGGAGTGGAGGAGTGGAGTAGAAGTACAAGTACTATATAAAATAATTGACTTGAGTAAAAGTAGAATTATTCTTTCAACTCCATACTTAAGTGGAAGTACGGAAGTACTCAATTTTTCTGCCTTAATGGGCTTTTAATTAATGCTCACCAGAAATGTATAAAGTAGTGGAGTGGAGTAGAAGTACAAGTACTATATAAAATAATTGACTTGAGTAAAAGTAGACTATTCTTTCAACACCATACTTAAATGGAAGTACTCCATTTTTCTGCCTTAATGGGCGTTTAATTAGTGCTCACCAAAGATGTATAAAGTACTGGAGTGGAGGAGTGGAGTAGAAGTACAAGTACTATATGAAAAAATTGACTTGAGTAAAAGTAGAAGTATTCTTTCAACTCCATACTTAAGTGAAAGTACGGAAATACATTTTTCTGCCTTAATGGGCTTTTAATTAGTGCTCACCAAACCTCAAAATCTTACCTCAAATATTAGGATTTATTCGCTCCACAGCGTTTTACTGTATTTTCTGATGTATGAGCAGGAATATTGGCAAAAACCATAAAACTGTCACACTTTGTGGACACTAATTTAGCCATTTATTGCTTTTTTTGGAGAAATTGAATCAGACACAAATTAACTATTTAAACATTTTAAACATATATACAAATCTACTTATCCAGTTATCTCTGCTTATCTACATAAAGCAGAGAAAAATACGCTGGATTTGGGGAAAAGGGTCACGTTCACGACTTCTTTGAAGCTCCTCAATGGACAAAACAATATTTAGTTTGTGCTCAGCAGGCTCAGATCAAAGTCCTGCCATTGATTTTTCTTAAGCATGTAAAAAGTAACCCATATCTGGACAGTCTGTTGGTCACCTCATGCTAATATCTAATATCTGCCATGTCACCAATGATGGTGGACATTAATCGTTCCCCTTAGGCATCTTTTTTGTGACATTAAACTCTACGTGTCTAAACACACTGCTCTCCACCTCTTATGGCTTCCAGTTTTGTCTTTTCAAAGTGGTCCAACACCAACTAAATTTTCAATTCTTCAGAAACCAGAATCAGGAATCAGATAATGGCTTTTTTTGGCCATATTGTACAACGTACAGAAGAATTTAACCTGGTATCAGGATTAAAATAATAATAAGTAAGTACGATATGTATAATTATATACAAAAAAGAATTAAATGAACATTTGTTGGGCAGAAGATTAAACAGGATGGCAGAAATAAACGTTGTGACTGAGGTTCTTTAAGAGTCTGTGGCGGGCTGATATGTCCTTATCTAAGAGGGTGGTGGCCTCAGGGAAAAAAAAACTAAAAGTACCTCGACACACAATTACATGAACCGATTATACTCACCTGTCTTTCTCTCAGCTTTTCTGGGTCCTGCCTATGGAAAAAGTTACATTATTTATATGTATCTACTTTTTTAAAGCAAGTGTAAGCAAAGTACTTTAAGAATTTAGGCTAAAATTATTAATAAAATCAGTTAAAAAGAGAACAAAAGCACGAATTAGAGAGACAAATAAAAGAAAAAGTTAATCTATTAGATAATGTTGAATGGATTAGCATAATTTTAACTGAAATGACTGCAATGATTTTAATTACTTTTTTAATTAAATGAACTTGGACTGGATTAAGCTATATTCTATTACCAATTTATGAATTTTTTACACCTGCTTAATCCAGTTGAGGGTCTCGGGGGCCTGAAACAGCTGCCGTGGGCTGAGAAAAGAGGCTTTTTCTGCACATGGAAGTGAGTCAAGACTGGAACCATTAGATCAAAAACCTCCACCCCAAACATCCCCCCAAACTGTGCAACGTTGAACTCTCAGTTATCTGTCACCCCCTTTTCCCTCCGTCTGATCCTTCGCTTTAACAACATCGGCCATTTTCAAAGACCCCCAGATGGAGTTATTCCCAATAAAACGGACCCAATCCAAACACCTGCTGATTTAAGATTAGACGCAGAGAACCGTCTGCTGGTCAAGAGCTGCATACCTGGGCTAAAATTAAACATGTGACCTAAACCGCGAGGCGTTATATTTAGGACGGGAGCAGAAGTGCCGTCATGGCTCCCGGTCGGAGTTTTTTCTTTGTGTCTTTAAGCCGCGTTGGAGAATGTAACAGCCACCAGCTGCTAATTGAATGAGTAAACAAATTAAACCAACCAACGGGGGGAATGTTAAGCTAGGAGCTCCCACAATCCCACAGCGGCCTCCTAAACTCGAGAGGTCAACAGTCAAATAGTTTTCTCCCAGTTTGGTGCCGTGGCGAGAGGTCAAAGGTCACCAGGAGCTCAAACCAGCCATCATCGAGCTGGAGAAATTCAGTTCAACTCTCCGAGTTGTTTTCTCAAAGCCTAAAGAAGGTTTATTAGGGAATTAATTGAGAATCAAGTCGCCTTTTAACCCTATAAAGCCATATGTATCATATTTGATACAAACGATTTCTGAAAAATTTTGCATTTGAGACCTTTTGCATCATTTCATGGTAAAAACTTTGTTCAAAATCTTGTTGTACACAACCAGGTATAGCTGATAAGAGTGGGCAGAAGACTATTATTACTATAATTCTGACTTGGCAGAAGGTATTAAATGACGAATATTCAAAAATAATTTCTGTTTTTTCTCATATATTGTGTGAAGGGTCAAATAAAGACTTCAAAAACAAAAAAATCTCCCTATTTTTTTCTTGGATTGGGCTTTAAAGGGTTAAATTTACTCCAACTAAACTTTATCAAACATGAAGCAAAAGCATTGAAGAGTATTTTTAATTTTTCTTTTAAAATGAAGTCTAATCAGACTATTTGTAACTGTGAGCAAATATTAGGTTACATTTTCCATTTGGGACAAGGGGAAGATTCAAGTTATCACCCACAACAACTGTAAAGTTCACGGGATTCCCAGCAGATAAACGTAAAAGTGCTGGAAAGTTTCAGGTATTTACCCCAAACTGGTTAAGGAATAACCTGGTTAGCAGTCAGACAGACATCTTTTTTTCAAGCTCAACAGTTTTCTTAATAATCTGTTTCACATTTGACCGCTTCGCATCGTTTTTGAGAAACGTTTTCTGAAAAACGAAAACGGGTTTTACATTTTTCTTCCTCCATTTTTAGAACGACAGCTAGCTTAATCAGTCTTTAGCTTCATGCTAATAACCTCCCTCTAATGTAATCTCTTTATCTCTTTATCCTACATTTTTACATATGACTTAATTTGTTCTTTCACTGACTTCTGTTTTTCCACAGCTTGATGCTTTTTTACATTTATTTATTTTATTGTTTTTTAGTTTTACACGAACCAGTAGTGCAGTTGCACTCCAGGCCTGCAGGGGGCGCTCAGGTCAGTGAATTACTCAAAACATGGCTTTAAAGCACGACGTTATCTCCTTCCACAAACCAAATATTTAAACAAAGCCCCTAACTGAGGAAAAAGTTTGCCTTTTTCTCACCACAGAAACACGCATTAAGTTTAAGAAAACTTTTTGCAGCTACACTTTGTTTACACTATAAGTGAGCATGTTTGAAAATCTACAGAAGCCTGAAACAGAGAAGAAGAAACCAAATCTGTATATATCTATGTCTGAAAACAGGAGCATGAAGTCTCAGGGTGATAGTTTTATAACCGTACACATGCAGAACTTTATAAATCTAGCTCCAAAAAACTGTAAAAATATAAGTTTTTTTAATAAAATGATGTTGTTTTACTCATCTGAGCCCTGGTTTTCCTCCTGCTTCTCAAAATATTTCCCATAATAAGCTAGCTCAGCTGTGCTAATTAGGAGATATCTCACCTGATGCTTTTTGTTCTTTGAATCATTTATTTTAATGACTTGTGCACATATGTGTTGCTCACCCCATCAGACTTTGTAAATTCTGAATAATTGTGCATTAGGTCCATGCATTCTGCATAAATACCGGAGTTAATGTGGGAAAAGGACTATTTAAACTGTTTATCCACCTTTTGATATCACTAAGGACATTTAAATATGTTTGCGATGTGCACATGTACAAAAGGCCTAATTTAATTTAAAAAAAATTGAGCTCTAAGAAAAAAAAACTGAAGTACTTTATTGTGATTTTTTTTTGGTTGTGGCACTCGACTGTCCTTTTGACTGACCCGTCCCGATAACCAGCACACCTGTTCCCCACCACAAGTGGCCTAGAGAAGCTATTAAAACCCAAAATACCTCCCATTGAAGTGCAGCTAAGCTCATCTCCCAGGCAGCATTCAGCGATCGGCGTTTTACGGACCCGGACCGCCAAGGTTCAACGAGGAATTTTCAATCAGGAACGTTCAGCATCTTCTCCGCTGTCCGTCACAGGTTCGATGGATTTGACAGAAGGTTATTGGAAGAGGCAGGTGTTTGATGCTCTTCAGATTAAATTAGTTTACCACAAAAAAAGACTCTCGAGAGGCAGGGATGCTGTTTTTTTAAAAGTCTCCTCACTGAAGCGAGACCCCTGACAGTTTACAGAAAGGAGAACTTCAGCCCCGAGGATTTCTGGATGAGGACCAGAATAGTGACCAAACGCTCTGGTTCAGACTTTGGGAATGACTAAAAGACTGGCACCAGAGGACCTCAGAGTCAGATAAATAAGACAGAATCTCTTGATTTTCCGTCTTTTACAATGTTTGCAGTCATCACAGGCTGCTGAAACTCTGTGGTTCTCTTTCTACGTGTCAAAATAAACCCAATTTCTCCAGCTGATTCCTCTTATCTCGGGCTATTTTTCAATTATTTTTACATGAACTAATATTTCATAACCTGACAGGAAGATGTCTGATTTAATTCTGAT